TACTACTACTACTACTACTACTACTACTACTACTACTACTACTAATATTATTATTACTATTATTATTGTTGTTGTTGTATTATTGTTATCTATAATTTATATAATTAACCTCCCTATGATTCGATCCCGGTCTTGCCGGGTTATTTATTACTTCAGTACTTGGGAGAAAATATCAATCTTTTGGTCATGTCAGTCACATCACTATACGGGAATCTCGTTTTAAATTCCTCAGTAAGTCCGTCGATAATATCACTCGTAAAAACTTCCACATAATCAAACTGTTTTTTTTTTAATTCTATATATTCCATTTGTACTTCAATCAATATATACCAACGAAAAAATTCTATTCCATCGATAAATACCAACTGAATTATAGACAGAATAATAGTCGTCAGTAATTATCATCGTAATTTACTAACAGAATTATTCTTTCTGTAATTTCATTGATTTTAGGTGAATTTCTGCTACTGAATTAAATGATACAATAAAAGTAAGAGGAGATGAATGTTGTTTAAGTTTTTTTTTTTCCAAAAGATAATATTTTTACCTGTCGATTTATATAAGTCGTAGGTGCAAAGTACCTCATATGATTCAACAATCATACCACAACACTAAAACTAAGCAAACTTAAAAAAGTGGCTCACTTTCTCTCTACATGAAAACTTGAAGAACAATATAAAACAAAATTAGAGAAAAATAATTAAGAAATAATATTTTTTTAATAATTTTAAATAAACCAATGAAATAATATATATATATAGACCCTGAAAGAAAAAATAAACAACTATTATCAATACTTACGATATAAAGCTTTATGGTTGAATTTTATTTTATTTTCAGTTTTTACTAATTTTACTAATGGGTTTTTTATATTAATTTTAGACATTTTAATTAGATATGTTATAGCACTATAGTTAGAGAACATTTCCTAACAAAACCTTAACACCAAAAAATAGGTGAATTTCATTTTTAATTAGGTTTCAAATGTGCCCACTAATCATGTTTAGAAGCTCTTTTTTCAACAATGTGTAATGTAAATTGACTAACCAATATATAAAGATTTACAAAATTAAAGATAGATACTAAATTAACAACTAGAAATTTGATAAATACAAATAGAAATACCAACGCAAATATTTTGTCCATAAATTACAATGAATTTTACCGACATAAATATTTTCTTGGTATATATTGAGGGAATTGCAATGGGAAAAAAAATTAAAACAAAGCAAAAAAAATTTGATGACATATCATTTATACCAATTGAATTGCTGACAAAATAAAATTCGTCGGTAAAATTATTGGTAAACTGTTAACACTATTCATTATGTTAATTACAAAGGGAATCATCAATGAAAAATTTCATTGGTATTTTCTAGAGAGTTATGAAACTGTTTACTTTCCAATTACACTGTTAATTATTGTTTTTTATAGACAAAATCATTGACGGATTGAAAAGTCGTTGGTGTTATTTGGCGGGTTTCTGAAAAAATTCAATTAAATAAAAATTTTAAATTAAATATTACAAACAGAATCACTGATAGATTAAAAAGTCATCGTTCATATTTGATAGTTTCTTAAAATTTTTGATTAAATTGAAAATTTAAATTAAAAATTACAGATGGAATCATTGATGAAATAATTAAAAATATTAATAATTAATTATTCATTGATACAATTATCGATAAAACGCTCTAATCAAAAACCTAAAATCCTTAATTTCACAACAGGTGGACTTCTTTTCTTCTTCTTCTTCTTCTTCTTCTTCCCTTTATGTAAGAAAATCAACATCCCTTTCTTTCTCTTCTCTTTTACACTCATTCTCTTCTCCTCCATGCTCAGGTATATTTTCTTCTCCTCTTTTCTTTTCTTTTTATAATTTTTTTAATTAATATACTTTATGAAATTTTTTTTCTTTTCTCGGTTTCATTTGCAACTTCATTAAGATAAGATTTTTATTTTCTCTTCTTTTTTTGTGTTTTTTTCACTATATTTGTTTTTTATTTTGTTTTTAATTTTTTTTTGTTCTTAATCATTGTATGAATGTTGTTGTAGCATTTTTTTTCCCTTCATATGAGATCAATCTTTAGTTGATTTATTTTTAGCAATCGCAACTTCATTTTTTTCATATGAATCTTTTTTAGTTGAATTTATTTTTTTTGTGTTATTTATTTGTTGCAAATTTGTTTAGTTTGATTTTCATCCTTTCTTTTTTCCTAGCAACTTAGTTTTGAGTATTATAGAATGTTGATTTATATTAATCTAATTATTTTATATTTTTCTAAAATAGATTTTTTCAAAAAATATTTTTAAATAATCACCGACAGAATTACATACTGTATTTTTCTGAGAGAAATACCAAAGAAATAAAGCAAGTAATTTTTTTGTGCTTTTCCTATCATAAATTCATCAATAATAATTTTTTTTTTATTATCAACAGACTTACCGATGAAGAAAAAAATTACCAATGAAAAATTCATCGATGGAGCATTTCCATTTATGATTCTGTTGGTAAATTAATTACCAATGTAATGATAGTACAAATACTGGAAAAAAAAAATCATCGATAAATATAGAGATTGTGGTAGTGATTGGTGCGTCACTATATCATAATATGTAGCTTTTGGATTTAAGTCTTCCTAGTGAAGCATTATTGGATTTAATTAGTAAATATAATGTATTAAACTATTTATCTTTTTATGTCAACGAAGACAATAGTGCTCATATGGTTTCGTTTCTATAGTACTCCTAAAACATGATTCACTACAAAATTTCACAGTTTTACCAAAGGACCTAATCTGTTGGTGTGAGATTCAGACTTCATCGATAAATTTTTTACCGACTAAATCACTGACGGAAAGTGTTTGTCGACATGCCTTTCATTGATAATCCCACATTCCATTCCTAACTCTGTTGGTATAAAAAGAATATATTGCCGATGGTTTTTCAGATGAAAAAAGCACGCCAAAAACAATTCCCAATGAAAATATACCAATGGATTTATTTCATCGGTGATAGTGACATATCTAGTAAATATTTTTCAGCTCTCGGTAAAATGTCGATGGACTCCATTCATCTATGAAGATATCGGTGATTGTGGCATTTCCAGTAAATATTTTTTAACTCTCTGTACAATGTCAATGGACTTCATTCGTCGGTGAAGATGTTGGTAATTGTGGCATTTCTAGTAAATATTTTTCAACTCTCTGTAAAATACTAGCGGACTATATTTGTCTGTAAATCCATCATTGGGGATTTTTAAATTTTTTTAAAAAAATTATTTAGAATAAATAATATAAATTAATAGTAAAAAAACCAATTACGCAAATAAAATTTTATTAAACATAAAAAATAAAAAAATAAAGTTAAATAATATTCATTACAAATTGAATTTGTTTCCAAACAAATATTTAATTAGCACAATGACAGAGCTAGAGGAGGAAGAGGAGGAGGCTGGTTGTTCCCAAAACCATACGGCCAAAAAATTGTTGCACATGTATCATCACTTTGTGATGTTATGTTCATGACCATTTGCCTAAAGTTGTTCATAATAAGCCGAGTGTTGCTCATATTTCTTGGTGAGATGAGTCATGTGAGCCGTGTTTTGTTCATAATTCATCGATAGTTGCTTGTATTTTTTGGTGAGATGAGGCATGTGTTGCTGTAAGGCCACGAACTCCTTAGATTGGGTGCTCAATATTGATTGGGAGCTCCCAATAGTGGAGACACTATGAGCCGCCCGCAAGTTCTTAGCTGTAGTATTGGAGAGCCCGTACACCTAATTTTTATTGGATCCACCGGATGATCCTACCTCCTTCCATAAATTTAGATTGAAATTCAGATGGGTTGAAGGATCGTTCCCATATCTCTCCGTCAACTGGCTATTATAGATCTCCTGAAAATGAAAAAAGAAATCATATTCAATTTAATAAAAATAATAACTTCCAAAATAAAATGGTTGAATGAATATACCACAAAATATTGAGCATGGTTGTTAACGAACTGTTGCACCTTCTTTAAGCGGTCTTAACTCCAAACGTGTGTCTCTACAAACAGCTTCATTAGACTCGGCTTATGTCCAAGAAACGTAACTTGTAAGAAAAAAATTAATTAAGTAACAAAAAATTATTTAATAATATATTTCATTTAAATTAATCCTACCTTCCATTTCGCATGTGTAGTAAATGGAATGTAGCCGCTAGTATGTGTTGTGATTGGTGCCATGTCATATGCTCAGTAGTTCTTAGTGACATGAATAACCTCTGCAATCTAGGTTTGATTAGAAAGTATCTAAGTTTTTTATATGCCATAAGATTCTTTCCCCTGCTAGTTCTGGGTTTGTAATGGGAATGCTCATATGTCATGCACTCAGTCAGCACAACATTTTCAAGGTAGTATAACATATAGAAGTTAAGGCACATGTCAATTTTCTAGTGTTCTAAACCGAGGGGTTTTATCATGTACTTTGCAACATAAAAGTTCTCTTTCAGCCTGTTCCCTTTAAGTAAAATGCTTCTCACCCATTCGATAATTTTGTTATAACTGGCTTTACTCAACCCATGATCTAACTTAATGGTAAACACCTGTGCTACGGTTGATAATTTACTATGGTTCGTGTAGCCATCTCATAATGGTTCGTCAGAATCTTTCAACAGATCAAAAAACCTAGTTGCATCTGCATTAAGTTCTTTTTCTACAATTGGACACTAACATTACCTTGATTCATTCTCATTGCATCTATAATCATATTCTTATAAGGATTATTATTATCATTTGCAACTGTATGCATGTTGCTAGCACTAGAAGTTGACCTAACTACCCTTTCTCTCATGCTTTTATTATGAAAAAAAAACAGTTCTCCGTGTGCATACAATCACAAGTAATTTTCCATAAATCCTTTGTGAAGAAGATGTATCATTACAACATCTGGATGCAGATACTTTTTATTTTGACACTTCTTACATGAGAACACCTAATTCCGCCTCTAGTAAAATTTCTGGGAATAAATGTTATGAAATTAATAAAACCTTGAACCATGTTACAATAATCCATCTTCCGCAATCCTTGGGGTGAATCTTGATATATCCATAAACGATCATCCATGACTTCCATCGAACCTCTATAAAATTATGATGACAACATGTATTAATTAACTATGTTAGGTAAATAAATTTGCAAAAATATTGGTTTACCTCGAGATTATCCAACAAGCTAATTACAACTTCTCATAAATATTCATTATCAATTATCAACATCCATACAAATTTATACATATAAATTTATGGAAATTACAACTCTATAATAGGATTGATAAAAATTAAAAAAGACTCGTTAAACAAGATATTAATTATTTCACCACAACATATGTAATTTGATAATTCAACAAAGTTTCAACAATTTACAAACAAATATAATTTTACAAAATCTAAAACAAACTATAACAAGTATAAAATTATACATTCATACTATA